GAGGAGGTTAGATAGGTATCTGGCTGGGGTCATCTGAACCCAGCACACTTTCCTCCCTATGCAGGGGGTCGGACTCGATGATGTATTGAGGTCCCTTCCAACCCTAACATCTATGAATCTATGAATATCCTTTAAAAGTGTTTAACACTGAGCTTAAGATTTTTGACCCAAAACTTCAGACCTACTTGTAAATACCAGAATGCCACTCCCCCATATTGGTTTATAACCTTACCACTAAAGTCACATTTGTATCACCTCCATCATGACCCCAAAGTTGGTGCTAAGAAACAAGTCCTGCTCTGCCTGGCATAGCCTACACACTGATATGGCAATTAAGAGCAATAGGTGGCTCAGAGGGGTCCTGAGTATGTGCCTTAGCATTGCCTCATGCTCTCTATCTCTAGATGGCCTGGAAATAGCACAGAAGCAGATATGGCCTTAGATCCATCTACTCTGTCTAATTGTTAAGCTTGGGCATGGACAGAGTGGGAGGGAGGTGTTGGGAGTTGGTGGTCTTTTGCTCAGCACGGAGTTAGTATCGGCATGTTCTAATTGGAACAGACAGAACTGGCTGGTGAGAGAAGTCATTTATGAAACGGTAGAAGAGAGTTTTTCATGGGCTCTTGTAGCCACTGGAGAGGTCCTTAAATTTCTAGTTCTGCAAACACTTATGCATATTCATATGTTTCAAGTTACTTGCATATGTAAGCACCTAAATAACTGGGATCTACATTCTGTTACTATGAGTCAAAATTCTACAAAGTACTATGTGGGTTAAGACCAGGAATCCTTAAAAAAGTAACCCAAAATACACATTTTTTCCATGATTAAAATGAAACACCACTATTATAGAGTGGTGTTTCATTTTCATCACAGAAAAACATGGATTTTGGGTTACTTTTTTTAATCCAAAAATTGGGAATTTTTTTTATCAGGCAAAACCAGGATCCCCGGTTAACACACAATGGGTGCATCCATACATGATGCTATGTCATTGTAGCCACACAGTACAGTGACCTAGTGACCACATGTGTCTACACATGACCAGCAGCTACTTCACTGTAGCAGCACACTCCCTCATGGCCAAGTAGTGGCTAAAAATAGCTGTGCACTTTTTCAATAACTTTTTCATATCCAAAAATTGGGGATTTTTTTTATCAGAGAAAACCAGGATCCCTGCTAATACGCGTTCAGTCATGCCTTCAGTGACCACTGCCTAGTAGGGGTGTGCAAAATGGGCCCTATTAGATTTGGATTCAGATTTGCCTGAATTGGGGACAGTGATTCAATTCGTTGATTCGGATCACTGCCCCTGATTCAATTCAGCTGAATCTGAAGATTCAGCCATAGACACAGCTTTAAATGTTTTTCCTACATACCTCAAGGTACCAGGTGTGGATTGTGAATGCTGCAATGGTGGGGCAGATGGAGCATCCCACAGGAGTGCAGGGTGCATCCACCTGTGCTTAGTTGCAAACCCAGAGGTGGACTGGCAGTACTTCTGGTCCACTTCTGGGTCCGCCAGGGAGTGCGCTGGGGGCCCCTGCACCATCCCCAGCTTGGTGATTGGCTATAGGGGGACCCCAGGTGCCCCCCACAGACCCAGGAGGTACCAGTCACTGAACCAGGGGGGCACAGTGCGCTCCTTGGTGGAAGTGCTTCTGGTTCACTTCCGGGTCTGCTCCTGAGTGCACTGGGGACCCCTGGGTCCTGTGGGATGCTTCATCTGCCCCAGTATCTCAGCATTCATGAGCTGTCTGGTACCTTGAGGTATGTAGAAAAAACATTTAAAGCTGTGTCTACGTCTGAATCGTTGAATCTTTCCGAATCTCTCTGAATCCATTTGCAGGGTTCTGATTTGATCCACAGAGATTAAAGGGTCTCCTGATTCAATTCAGGTTAGAAGATTCAGCCACTGAATCGGGCCGAATCTCCGCCAAATTGAATCAGTGACCGAAGCTTTGCACAGCCCTACTGTCTAGCTAGTGCACTGAATGAGGAACTGACTATAGACTATATTCACTGCTTACAAGAAAACTATCAGGTTGTGCTATATGCAGAAACTGTACATCTATGATAGCTGATGGTATATTTCTGAATAATCATTCAGTGCTTGAAAATACTACAGCAAAGCAAATAGAAATGTTCAGTTTTCTATGGAAGTTTGTTTCTTACTTTCTTATGTATTTACCACCTGTAATTATTACCCCTTAACATTAGGAACCCAGGATCTCAAACATCTGCTACTGGTTCCAGCTTAGTCCCTTGCCAGACTTAAACCTTATGTATTTGGGAAGAGAATTTCATCTTGCTGTACAGAAATTATGTACATATTTTATCTGGTCAAGAATATGGGAATCCCATATACTTATTGGAATTCTGCTTGCAGTTGGTGAACCTTATATTTGTGTTCTCAATCTGGAGCAGATGATGAATAAATATGAAGTGGGTGGGATAGAGAAGAGAGCTAGAGAAAAATGACTTTAGCAATTTCTTTTATTGGGGACCTTATTTGCAATCAAAAATGTGTACTGCAGTCTTGAACCATATTAAGATGCTAAAGGTTCAGACTTACATGTTTGTATAAGGAGAGCTGATATGACATTTGAACGATTTGTGCATGTTAGTTTTTAAAACATAGGTTTCCAAACCCAGTGACATTATACTGAATTTTTTCATATGGTTACTTTAGCTAGAAAATCTTTTTGCTACTTAGTAAAATCCTGTGCATTAAATTGCTAGTGGAGCTGCATATCAGTTTTATCTACAGTAAATCATCATGAAATATCACAATATTGGGTCTCAGAGGTTTTAAATATATTAACTTTCTAGTAGGATGCTAAAGATCCTTTTTTACTGGAAGAAACTTGATGTAACTTGACCTTATAATAGGAAAATAGGATTTTTCTATTCAGGATTTCCAAATGCAGTTTAAGTGTGAGGGAGGAGAGAGTATAATGCATTAAATACCATTTACAGTATAGATGCTAAAGAGTACATATTTCGTTCTAGTATTTTATGAAACCAAAATTAAGTATTTTCATAGTTTAATTCCTATCTCTATCCTTCATATTCTTATTTTTCAGTCAGTTCCTCTGAAAAATACTATAGAGGTAATTGCACTTGTAGGGTAATTCAACAACTTGATAAATATTACCAGCCAGTTTCAGTTCAGTTAATTTAGGGAAAATGATTAACGCTGATTCTAGCTGCGTAGCATAGCTGTCACTTGGGACTGGACACTTCAGAAAGATAAGAAAGCAGGTACAAAATCGCCTTTTGTGGGGTTTCTGCAGCTGGAATATTTTTTTTTTCATTGTTTGTTGGTCCAGTTTGTTGATCTCATATTAAGGTCCAGTTTGTTGGTCTCATATTAAGATCTACATCTTGATAAATGCAGAAAAAGGGATCTTAAGCAGCATACAAAAATAGGGCAGAAGGTAAAGATACCCTATTTATTAGGCTAATCAGTCAGTGTTCCACTGTTTCTTTAACCACAGCATAAGAAGGCAGTGATATGGTCAAGCACCCTGCTCTGGCTGCCTTCACCCCAAGGTAGCTCCTGGTACCAAATGAACAGGAAGCTGAGTGAGCCTCAGAGCCGCACTAGAAGGGGAAACAATGAATTGAAACTCACCACCCACCTGGGATCAAACTGAGGTCTTTCCAGTTTACAGCCACTTGCCTGACCAGCTAAGTTATGCAGCTCCCACAAGCATAGAGTATGTGAATGAATTTCAATATAGGAAGCAAGGAACCAGCTACATTAGTATAAGTTGCTGGGGTGTGTGGGCACAGACTTGGAGGGGGTGTCAGAATGGTACTTGCTGCCCTCCGAGTCTTTGACTCCGTAGGAGCAGCCCTGTGCCTTAGAGGCTATGCAGGAACAGTCCATGTCATAAGGACCAGGTGCAGTAGCAGCAGCTGGGGTCTGAACCTCCTGGGGTAGGTAAGACTGACCATTCTCTTCTTTCTCTCCTCCAGAGTGCAGGGAAAATTTTCCCAGGGTGTCAAATCTGTTTGTTATGCCTTGAACAGCTAACTACACGATAGTGGTATTGATATTGCTACCTACCTGAAGCACAAAGCAGGGAGAAAGAGGAAGAGATGGAGAAGTGGCAGATATATACCAGAAATCTAAAGCTAAAGCCAGGTGCTAGAAAAAAATGTTAGAAGATGATATTGATAAAAATTCAAAAGCTTGCTTTAAATGCTCTCCTAGCTCAAAAGCACTCGAAAGTCTTTGGGAAGCAAAAAGACTTTTATGTACTACTTTAATTTGTTTCTCTCCCTTTTCTCTTTTGCTGTCACAGGGGAGAGAATGGCTGACTCTCAGGGTCATTGCAAATTGATTTTGTGTTGTACACTTAAAAGAAGGAGATTTTCAGAGTTTTGTTTCACTATTACTTGTTCTGAAGGATTTCCATTTTTATTATTGATTTTTTTTTTTTTTTGTCTAGGAGCAAATCACACCATTTCTAAGCTTGCACATAACACCCCGGGAGCAGTTTGGCGTTGTGCATTTAGGGACAGGAAACTACCGTAACTGAACCTAAGAGCCAACACACAATAGTTATCATGTGATTTCTATTCATTTTAATGGGTTTGCTTCTTCAAAGGGCATAAACCTCAGTGTAGGGATTTGGGGCTGAAGGGGAGGGAGCTAATGATGTGATTAATGTAGATTTCATTTATAATCCCTTCAGTGTTTATATATTTTTTACAATTGCTGGTTTAGAAACAGGTCAAAACCCTTTTTAACTCTATTAATATAAATTTAACTTAAATACTTTATACTACTTCCCACCCTGGTAGGAAACATAGAGTCATTGTTTCTCAGGGACCTCCCATCCCATCAGGGGCTCCAAGGAGTGCTGGGCACCACCTCAATCTGATAAGCTTCTTCCTGAGGTACAGCATATATGCCCTCTTTGAGGCCGGCTTTTTTTGCTAGCTGTTGAAAAGGACAAGACCATAATGACCACTATCTTCTTGCTTCTTTCTCTGTGTGTCTGTCTCCTCTTTTGTTTGTTATAAATAACAATCCCTGAGTTTAAGAGACAGCAGGACTAGTCTTATGAATGACTCCGACTATGAATGGTTACAAGCAGAGGAAATACCATATACTACCACAATTTGGCTAAAGTTAGGAGTACAGTTTGGAGCTCTTAGTTGCCTACTGGAAGGATATATACAGGGTTATTTATCTTAAGTCCCTATTTCACTTTCAGTGGTAACCAGTTCATTCAGAGGGCTATGTTATAATCCACTGTTTTATTATCTTTCTTTTGATGCTGTAGCAGATAATATGCTGCTGAGACCCTGTGTCTGACCAATGTAGAACACTGTAATAAATGGACTGTGCGCCCTTTGCTGGGGTTTTGAGTCAGTATTGTGGAATGGGTAGCTAGAACCACAAATGAGAAGCAGAAGAAAAACAAGCAAAACAGTCACGAGATTATAAGGACAGTGACTCAAATTACGAGGGATAGAAATTTACAAAGGTTTTGTTGATGAAGTGACTTTCCTCACTGCATGAAAATTAAAGAATCCCTGGACCCAAACCCCTTTAATACCCCAAACAAGGCTCCTGCCACTGCAGGAAGTCAATTATCTCCATGGAAACCAAAACAAATAGTGAATATTGCCTTAGCAGCCACAAAGGATAAAAGGTGCATCTAAAATTAATTTATGTCTTGGGATCAGACACTTGAGATGAGAGAACTGGTCCATAAAGTACCCAAGAGGAGCTATTAAAAAGAAAACAAAATAAGTCCCTCATTGTACTCTTGAGGGAGTTGTGCTTAGAGCATATAAATTTGCTTTGTCTGTGCCTGTAGAGGGTAAGTTGTCAATGTGTCCACATTTACATGGATACTTTTATAATTCTCTCCCATAAATCTGATAAAGAAAGACCTTGCTCCAAGAGACTGTTATCTTGCAATCTGCCTTTTTGTGCATTAGGGATCATTCTGTATTGTGTTACTTATTCTGACATGGGTAAATTGTTTTTCCCCATCCCCAAAAGCCTAATGTCCTGGCATATTTAGAATATAAAAATGCATATGTTGAGCTGTGTACATTTTGTATTGAAATTAGACATGAATATATTACAGTGTTACCTGTGAAATAAATAAAAACATTGAAAATATCCCTTGCTGGAAATATTGTGCAACTCCTTACATAAGAATCCAACTTACCCAGGTTTCTGTAGGTTGGTATCACAGTGACTGATACTGTATTTATCTTCAGCTGTTGTTTTGGTGGACAACTCCCTGTCACTGCAGGATGTATATAGCTGCTGCAGCAGAAGCGCCTACAGTAAGTATCTCACTATATAACTGGACTTCTATTAGTGTGACACAGCCTGTGGAGAGAACCCATACCAAAATTAGTCACTGGGACAAATGTTCAAAAGAGCTTAGTTCCCCACCACCTCCCTCTGAGACCCCTAAATAAGCAGGCACAGCATTTTCAAAAGAAAGTTTTTCTCAATCTGATGTGGTAGATACTGAGGACTTTGAACATCTGGTACGTGGCCTTTATTTTAATTTAGTCTGTTTAACTGTATGTGAAAGATGGAATTCATTTTTTAAAATTAAACTTGAGATCTTATTTCCAAGAAGAGTAGCTACCACTGGTGACAGAGGTTTGGTTGGTGGGTGGAGGAGGAAGGAGATGTTCATTTAGAAAGAGTCATGGCTAAAGGAAGTGATGTTGATATTGATCAGATGATGTTAATCAACTTATTTTGTTCTAAACATTTCATTTTTTTCCCCAGGATGTACCAGGTTTCTAGTGTCCATTGCAAGCTGAAAGAGCCCACCATGAATATTTTCCATTCCAGAAGTGAAATATATGCCAACTTGAACAAGTCTCCAAGGAATATAAATTGAGTTTGGTATATTATTTCCATTTGTTCAATTATTGAAAAAAGAAAATCAAAATGACCTACCATATTTTACTGCATATACCACCCAGAATAAGAGAGGAACCTTGTTTTGACAATGAAAAGAAAGAAAGATCTTTCCTTGTAATAAGTAACTGAGTAGCAGCAGCTAGGGAGCTGAGCCTGGTTATTGGTCTGCCCCCTATGGATTGTATACAGAGTTACTTCCACTTTTGCCCATCAGAAATGCAAGTGGAAGGCACTGCTGTTATTCTATTTCCTAGCTTATAATGCATACAATGTCCAGCAGCTTTTTTTTTTTAAAGGGGTGTGTTGTATGCAAGAAAATATGGTATTTAGAAGGATTCTGCAGTGGTTTGAAGGCATTCTGTGGTTTGAAGGTGATTGAAAGAGTGCTTATTAGGGGTCAGCAGTAAATTGGCTAATTAGATTATGCTTCCCTACCTATTTTTGTCTGTTAAATTGCATTAAAGAAGCTAAAAAGGATCTTAAATAACTTCCTTTTATCACTTTATCAATTTCTTACATGGATGAATGATCTCAGGATTGCTGTTCTCAGGCAAAAAAATCTTTTAAAACCAGTTTGAATGAGAAATGGTAGAACAAGAAACCATCCACAAACCTGTGTTAAGTATGGTTTAAACAGGGAGGATGCATTCTTATCTAAGTACCTGGATTAGCTTTTGAGACTGTGGGAGCCGAGGGCGGTCTAAGGCTATGGCCTGTAGCCTGGACCGTCAGGTGGGTATTTTCCACGATGGAATAGAGTTAGGCACGGAAGCGTATTGGTTGTATAAAGAAAGCTTTACTTACACTGCCGATGGTCACAGTGCAGGAAGAAGACTTGGTTGAATTATAGTTGCACACAAACACACAGGGGTGAGGTCTCTCTTCGAACCGAACCGAGATGAGTCGTCGGTGTATGACTCCACAAGCACTTCACACGGGGGTACGTCAATATTTCCACGATGACGGGGAGTGGTTAGAGTCTGATCAGGTCCCTAAGTTCTCCTCCAAGACACACGTGGAGTTTGCTAGGCTCCACAGCGTGCTTAGAGTTCCCCACGAGATGGTTAAGGGGTCCTCCAACTTGGGCGGAAACTGCTCTAACCTTTTATACGGCTAGCAAACCAATCGCTAGCCGCCAGGTAGGAATAATTTAGAATTGACCAATAGTGGGACACAAATTTGCATACATGTGGTGGGAACTCTTTTGCACCGGGGTTTTCTCTCTGCAGCTGAGAAATCCATCGTGCAAAGCAAGCTCCATGTGGCGGGGAAATTCCAATGTGCTGAGGCACTAAAAATCATTGGGGTATGACAGAGACCTCCTTTTTCTCAGGGTTTACTGTGTGTTTGGTTTTCTCCCTAAGCAATGCCCCCTCTCCCTTTTCTCCCTCTCTCTCTCTTTCTCGCTTCTCCATCCCTTGTTACATTTGTTAATTTTAGGTGGCTTCTGGAGCTCTTAACCCCATAATTTGCTACATGTTAACATCTTTTAAATGGCTTAAAATGCTTTTTTTTGGTTTAAAGTTATGCCACTCCAGGGCAGGTTTATCTCTAGTCCACCAATTTTGCTCCTGTTCCATTAAGGTGTGGCCACTCTCCACAGCTATTCCACCCAAGCTGAAATCCAGTGGCTGGAACTGGGCAGAGCTCAGCAGCTGCAGTGTGACAGCCTGAGACTGGTTCCCACTGATCCTGCACTCCCCCTGGCTGTGCAGGGTCCGGCCGGCAGCTCCCCGCATCTGCCTCACCCAGCAGTGGCCATGGTTGGTAAGGACCTGAAGCCCCTGAATCAGCCATAGCAGCCGGGCAGTTCCAGGTGCAGATCATGGGGCTCGACATTGCCTGTCTAGGCTGGGGCTGCACAGAGCAGGAGGGGAGGCTGGGCCACTCATAGGCAACTCCTGAGCCCAGTGGGGGTGGGAAGTTTTGCCCATATACCACCCTCCTCATGTATGTTCCTGGACCACTGGGCCCGAGCAGAGGGAGCTAGCTCCAGGGCTGCAGTGATGGCTCTGCCCAGTGGGAGGAACAAGTTTCAGGGGATGGGTATAGGGATAGGACTTCCCATCCCTGCTGGCCTTGGGTGGCAGCTGTGAGTGATGCCACCTCCCTGCCTGCTCTGTGGAGCCCCAGCTTGGATGGGCAATGCTGAGCCCCACAGCCCATGCTCAGAGCTGCCTGGTTGTTATGAAGGGGGGTTCAGGGGCATCAGGCACCTGCCAAACACAGGTGCTGCCAGACAAACCAGGTGAGAGGGAAAGGCACCTGGACCCTACACAGCCTGGTGGAGCATGGGGTCAGCAGGA